AGCTGCACTCTGTGTCTGCAAAAAAAAATCTCTGTATCTTGTCAGCCCTGTGGCCTTCAGGCTGATGGTAACTGCATGGGGGGTACAGAGAATCTGAACCAAGCTAGTGGATTAGGAAGAAGTAGGATTGAAGACAGAGCAGACTGTCTGGAAGAACAGACTGTTGTTGCTCATTTTATGTTAAGCACTGTTGCTACCCACTATGAAGCATTAGCTTAATTAACTCGGGGACAAATTCTTCTGTCTTGGCAAAGTCCATCAACATCCAAGGAGTATTTCGTCCGTGTTATAAATATGAAAATGAAATGAAGATTTATTTGGGTACAATCTAATCATGGAAAAGCCTGTCTCAGAGATGAATGTACTAACAACTTTAGATAGACAAATGGGTACTCTGCCCTTTCATTGTTTCTGATATGAGGCTAAATTGACTTGGGAGCCTCTTTGTGTTACCTTTGCTTCTCAAAGGTGAGTGACATCCTGTGATTAAAAGCAAAATAACCCAAGTACTTTTGCACGTCTTTAAAAACAAACAAAAAACCCAACAGACTTGTCAGGCTTTTATTACTTTCTGGTGTTATCTTCTATTGAAATTCCTAGTCTGATGATTTTTAGATGGTGCAGTTTTGTCATGGGACTCCAGTTCCTCTGCTGTCATGTGTTCCTTTATGGTTGGGATTTTTCTGGACTTAAGGCATTAAGATTATCCTAATGATAGAATCAGAGCACATGGGTTTTCTTTATTTACGCAGTGTGATTCTACTCTTTGCTCTTAATGTTATTTATCATGGTTAGTTTGGTCTGATACTCTACCTCCAAAAGTAGGCAATGACTAATGCTTCCAAGGAAGGAAGGATAACAGAACCTCAGGCAGCCGCAGCTGAAGTTGGTATAGTTCTTGTCTTTGATGTTATTCATCCTATTGCTCTTCCCATGATAAGTTTCCACTCTTGAGAAAATGGTCAAATGGTAGCATCCATCACCTCCCTAAAGGTTGCTGAAAAATTGAAGAGAGTTCAGAGTAAATATATAGGAGTGAATCAAGAGAAGTCTGTTCTAACCAGTGAGTTTAATTGATGCTTAATTTAAACGTTGTGATTTGATTTCATCAAAGACCTGGATGCGTTCTGTGAGGACCTGCGTGTGGAAGGGAGGTAGGAGTGTAGCAAAATCCAGCGCTTGGAGGTGGAGCTAGCTAAATTTAAGCCAGACGTGAAGGAGAATCCATAATATTGGCGCTTGATTGCTTGCCCATATAGTTTACTGAGTGCAGCAGTGGATTCTCCATTACATGCTTTTTTTCAGAAGGATTCAATCCCCTGCATTGCATTGCTTGGGGCCTTTTACCCTAGGCACAAAATCACATGCCCTTAAAAGAAGAAAAGTGTTGGGGAGAGATCAGAACAAACCCAGAAGTTCAGCTTCGGCTGTTAAAAAGAGATCTATTCATTTTCGTTTTTTATGATCTTGTGTAGTTAGGCTAAATTTAATTGAGGCTGGGGAGCTGGGGCTGGAAGAGATCAGGAAAAGGGAACTTGTTGAAAACATTGTCAAGGCACATATAGCAAAAACGAGTGACAGCAAATGCATGACAGAAAATGAGAGGAGGAGAAAGAGGAAGAGAAAAGGCTAACGGGAAACAATTAGAAAACCCCACCGCCACTGACACAAATGTGTTAGAGGGTAGCCAAGATGAAGCTGCATGCCAGCCTACAGTTAGCAACTGAGTTACTGCAGTGTGGTCTTATATTCCCAAACTGCCCATAAGAGAACTGCTCTTCAAGCTCGTTCATGAGATGCCACAGTGTCATCAACTGTCCCAGCATTGTGTGGCCTGGCTGCTGGAGCAGATAGCCCTGGTTTATGCATCGCTCAGCCCATCCCTGCCTCGTGGCAGACCGTAAGGGGACCAAGGCGTGTTGCCTGTGAGGTGGCTAAGGACAAATAAGGAGCTGCCAGAAGGGGTGATGATAATCTCGCTAGTGCTTTTTCTTTTTGTTTTGAATCAGTGTGGAGGTAACGCCTGTGCTCTGAAGGAGCTTTGTGCAGTGGGATGGTCTTTCGTATGAAATAGCAAACCAGGGGCTGAAAACTTGTCAGAATAAAACTCCAAGATGCTTGTAGCAATGGGCAAGATACAGCGATCTTTAAATGTAATAAGAGAGCAAAGTGTCCTGTTTAACTCTTAAGGCTGAGTGCCCACCTTGCCTTCTGCTCTTAAGCCTAGATAGTTGCCTGAGACTTATTGTCATGTGTTACATTTTTGAATGATGTGAGAGGACGAGGTGGCCAGGTAGGTGAATTTTAGTGTTTTGGTGGTGTTTTCTGTGTCCGGTGAGGCTGGTGTTGGTAATGAGAAGTACCAGGCAGTGGGAGCGCAGTCCATCCTGCCTGTCGTGGCTGGTTTTCTCTACAGCCCTGCGGGGCAGACCTGCCTTTCACTTCTTCCTTTCAGAATGATGCTCTGCTCAGTGTGAGGTCAGCTGGCAGCCGTGTTTGGGAGGGTGGTAAGATCTGTCCTTGCACCTCGGCCTTGGATGCTTGTCTGCCTGCAGGGTGCTCCTGCCACAGTCTTCATTTGTAGCCAGCCCCTCCATGCTGGTCCCAGTGGTTCCTTTCACTGGTATCACATGTCCAATGCAATGGGCTCATCCTTCAGCAGAAGGGATTGCAAAGTCTGTGACCTTGAGCAGCCACACTGCCTGGTGGGGAAGTGCTGAGGCATGTGGCAGTTCCTCTGGCACACAAAGAGCAGTGGAGGTAGAAGAGGACCACAAACTGCCCATCTCCTAGTTTTGGGACAGACATGAGGACTGGCTTTTCTTTGCAGTCTTTAAGTACAATTGAATCCTCCAGTAAGAAGGTTGTTACCTGGAGGTAACTTACTGGGCTGGAAGAGACACACACTGTATATGTCAGTTTTAACAAGCACTGCTGATAGCTGGAGGTACCATTTCCACATTGCCACATGGAGACCTTGCTCCTTCCCCACCTCTGTCCCCACTGACTCAGCACTACTGTCTAGTAGCAGATTGCTAGGACAAGGCTGTCCATATCAGAGTCCATCAGACTACTTTCTCTGTTCTATATCCAAAAGCCTTATCTGCTTGTTCAATACAAGACTCACCTGATTTTTCTCCACCGCTTGTAGGACCGAGATGCTTTGCAAGGCAGGATGAGCTGGCAAACCAGATCTTCACCCAAGTCCCAATTACTTGATCCTGACATTTCCACTAACATCTGGTCTCAGACTACAAGAAAGGGGAAAGAAAGGGGATCTCTACTTTTTTGTTTTTCTCTAGACAGACTTACGTTGTCAAATGTGCTTTTCTCCTGCCTAAATATTCCGTGTAATATAGGGGACAGTTGCTTTTTTTCTGAGAACATGTGTGCGTGGAAATGTTAGCTTTGTGGCACCATGAGTATGCCCAGGTTGGTGGTACATGCTCTTGTAGATGCATTCCTGCTTATTATCAGCGAGAAGATATTTGGTCTCCATGTTTGATGGTAGGTGGCAAAGGTGATGATATCAGTCATGCACCTGCTTGCAGGTTTTAAGCACTGACCTTTATAGCTGTCTACACGTGGCTATACTTTTCAGCTTTGGAAATGCCTTCTCTTGAGACATTCAAATAGATGGCTGTGTGCCTGGCCACAGAGCTGTATCAGAATAGTTTGAGAGCTGTAGAGCTGTGAGGCTTGGTAATGATTTCACTCTGAGGGGGTGTCCACCAGCCAGAGGCCGCCCTTCATCTGCCCTCATTTGTTTTCCCAACCTGACCTCAGAGAGCTGTGTGCACCCACTGGTAAATCCCAGTGCTGCTCTGCTCAGGCAGCAGTAAGAGTTTCTCTTTGTAAGTCCAGTGGTGCCTTTGCTTTGCCCGACTGGAGCTGCCCAGCTGGAACTGCCTCTATGCAACAGCAGTCAGCTAATGTCTGCCTAGGCCCAGTGCTCTCTCTTGCACCAATCCTTTTCCAAGCTTTCTGATGTAAAGAAATCTTTCCAGGTCAAGTCCCAGCTGCTTCTGGTTTCCAGAACCCTGAGGTGTGCTGACACCAAAGCAGAGCATGGACAGACACTTGAGGGCTCCAAAATTAGCAGTAGCTTTTATCCATGCAGGTTCTTCACGTCCTTACTGCAGCTCAAAGCCAGCATAGGGAGGTAACGTGGTGCTGCTGTAGGACCATTGCTGCTACCCAACAGCTATGGCTGGTGTGTGGTGGAGAGTGCTTGTTTGTTGCGGTTCAGCCCATTATGAACAGGTTTTCTTTATGGGAAACATTTTCAGCAGCGTCTGAGTCCAGTTCTCAAAAGTGATGTAGGCTGTTAAGAGACCAAAGCCAAGATCTTCATAAATAAGTAATGGTTTGGGCTGCCTTTGTTTTCTGTTACACAAGTGGAGATGTCTAAAAGGAGCCTGGTTGTCAGTGGTTGTGGAATTCTGGCATTTTTTCAAAATTGACGTGCTTTTAAAATACCTTAATCTGGGCATTCAGAAATGGAGGCATCAAGGAAGATTAGCTGCTTTTGAAATCCTTTTTCTTTAAAGTTTAAGTGAAAGACAGTGGAATTTGGGGCCATAAATGTCATGTTGAGAAATGCTAAAGGTTATATTTTGGAAGCGTGTGTCTGCCCACCTGTAATGGCACTTGTTCCCAGAGCAACCGCGCCGCTGTACTTTAATGTACTCACCAAATCCTAGCAGGAGGAAGTCAAATCTATGACTGTATTGCTGAACAGGCAACAGGAGTGATGGGCTTCTCTGGTGCATTGGTCTGCCTCAACTTCAGTTTGAAGAGGAAAAGAACAACACTTTAGAAGACACCAAAACAAACTGATCAGTGATTTCAACCAGCCGGGCAAAGAAAGACAAGTTTGTATCTGAATTCTCATGAAATGGTTTTGTGGTTGTTATTTAGTAAGTCATCTAGAGGGTTTACAACTGCTGGTCCCCCAGCCTGAATTCCTAATGTCCGTGCGGTTCTTGTTTTCCTCTCAGATTTGAACCATGTCCCACCCGTCCTGGCTGCCACCCAAGAGTACCAACGAGCCTGTTGGTCACGTTACAGCAAGGATGGAGACCACTCATGCCTTTGGGACTCCCAGCATCTCAGTGTCCACCCAACAGACGCCAAAGAAGTTTGCACCCGTTGTTGCCCCCAAACCAAAGTACAACCCATACAAGCAACCAGGAGGTGATGGTGAGTATGTTTGTGGGTTTTTTTTGTTTGTTTGTTTCATTGGTGTGTGGTTTTTTTTTAGGAAGGATCCACAGAAGTCGTATTCAGGGATATTGACCTCTAACACAAACTGTGTTTGACAAACTCTTGGTTCATGAGTTTGTGGGATCAAATCAATAAGAATGTGAAAGAACCTTGTACCCTCTGGCAAGCTGTCCTCTTGAATGGTGCAGGGCTAGGGGAGAGCAGGGGGACAGAAGTTCCTTTGTTTTTATTGTAAGCAAGTCTCCTTTCCCTAAAACTGATATTTTTCCAGGAGTTTTGCTTGTTTCATGTCTGCCTGTACACGTCAATCCAAGAAGCTGGAGCTTGAACACCCTTTTCAGTGTTGTTTTTCTTTTGCACCAGCACAGTGGGACTTCGTTACAAACATGGGACTGAGCTGGGGATGTGGGTAGAGGTGGATGGATTTGGCAGAATGTGTCTCAACATGTTTTGTCTCTTGCCTGTTGGTTTGATTCAGTTTTACTGTTTCTCCTCTGTTGTGGCAGGCTCTTGAATATGAGATGAATTAGTGGCATAACTATGTAGATATTTATGCGACCATTGCAGTAGCCTCTGAAGACGTTCTGTCAGTGAAACAAAAGCTTTCCAGTCACCGTGCACTGGCCTCACTTTGTCTCCTGCTTTTAAAGTCCAGCTCTCTTCATGCAGTTGAGCAGCAAGTGTAGGAGTTGGGTTCCTGTTCTGTGGACACATGGAAAAAGGGATAAACTTGGGTATTGTACTCAAGACTTGGCTCCATTGTACTCAAGAAAATTGCCAAATCAGCTTTTGATTTTCAGTTGTGGCTGTTCTGCTTTGTACCGTCTTCGCTTTTCCCTCTTTTGTATTGAGTGTAATAAGGCAAAAGTTGTCTGTAATTTTTTTCCCCTTTTTCTACTTTTTTCAGAATGTGTGCAGGAAGGCTACATGATAATGGAAAGGAGAAAAGAAAAACAGCAATATATTAAATCTCTCATTTAAGCAATTTTCTAAAGTTAAGGACGTCTAGTAGGAAGTTGGAGAAGACTCTCTAGTGTTTCATTTTTTTTTTTCCTCTGCCACTCTTTAACTTCAGAGAATTCGTAACGAAAAAAGAAAATGTGTTGGAGGGGAAAACTCAGTCATATGCACCTGTTCTGTTGCCTTCAGTAACAAAACATTAGCAAGGAAGATGGAGGGAAAGACATTTGGAATTAAAAAAAGTAAAAATAATCCATTTCTGAATTGCGATGGAAATGTCACTTTCAAGTGAAGTGGGAAATTCTTATTTTTTAAATTCTTCTACAATTTAAGATAATAATGAAAAGTGACACTTTGGTTCCTCAGGAAAACTGTTGTTGATCAGCCAGAAATGTCACTATGCTTTAATTGTTGATGCTTTAATTGCTATAGATCTGATTATAAGTGACTCAGGAACATCCCAACAGCCTTCTAAAAAATTCTTTGCTCCTTGGCACTGGGAGAAGGAGACGTCCTCTAAGCAGCACCCAGTACTGCAGACTGAGGAAGGTAGATGAGCCTCACCAGCATTTCTTGTGCAATGCACAGAATGCAGTCCTGCAAGCACGTGAACATTGCTGGGTCTGATGGAAACGGAGACATTTGGGGAACTTGTGGGGGGCCTCTGCAGATTCTGGACTTTTAGAGATGCCATCATCATCTGATGGGCTTGCAAGAAATAAGGGATAGTGGAGACTTGATCAGGGATTGGCTTAGTGATGTGACAGTGTACCAGCAGCTTAGGCTAATCCATTTTCAGAAGGTGACACACTGCTGGTCAGTGTCAGCAGCTGGTGCAAAGCCATTAGCTCGACCATATATAACCCTGAGAACATGAGGCTTCCGGGATCTGGCAGGTGAGGCAAGAAAATATTTAGCCCACCATGCCTCATTCACTTTTTATGGCTCTGTTCTCTCCTCCAGGCTCCCTGCTTGTTTCTTCAGTGACCTCTGTTGTTTGACAGAACAGAACTTTGAAATGAGTTAGAAATGGTTAAAAGAAGTTAATGTTAAAAACAAAAGCTGCGACAGGCGGCAGTTTGTAAAGCAGGAGCGTTTTAATGTGCTGGAAGCAGTCAAGGCGTGCGTGGTTTAGACCAGCTAAGTGAGCAATTTTCTCGGTGGTGCTGGTCCCCCTCCTTGCTGTTTGCCACGCTGCCTTGCTGAGACTTGTTTTGAGCTGGATTTGTCAACTCATCAGGGCAGAGACCATGTCTTGCTGTCGCAGGGATCTGTTCGGGGCCTTGGGGTATGACTGCAGTAGTAATAATAACAAATAAGAACACAGCCCTGATTAATGTGCTGCACGGGTTTCTGCCGCCCAGCTAGCTGGAGAAGCTGGTGCAGCTGTGTTTTTATGGACCAGACTTCCACGTGCTGCAGTCTGGTCTTGATTTCTGGAGGATTTAGCACTAGCCTTCCCTGTCGCAGCACCTCATGGAGGATTAACCTTGCTCACCTCAAATGCTCCTTCCCTGGCGTGCTGCTGTGCTGGGGTCTGTACCTCCTGCCCTGGTGTAGCCTTTCTCTTTGGAGACAGGGATGAGTTTCTTTGCCGGGGTCTCAGAGCCAAGCAGGAGCTCTGCTGGCATGGCAGTGTGCTGGGGCTCATCTGCTCCCTGCTCTGTCCTATATGGTCCCTTGCTGCTGAGCTGTACTTCTGATTCCTCCCTGGCACTTTGGGGAGGGAGATGCTTTGCTCCCCCACCTCTCAGCCCTCTGCACATCACAATGCTCAAATCACTGTGTGCTCTCTTTCTGTGAGAGGAGTCGCTGCTGGTGTCTGTTTTCGGTAAGTCCAACCCAAGGGTACAAACTCTGCTGTTCAGCATGGACTCAATCCTGGGAAGTCTTAGCACTGTGATCCCTTCTGGCCTGCACAGCTCCATATTTACCCCACAGATGGAGGAGAGCTGTTTGAGCTAGCAGAATGTGGTTTTGTACAAGAAAAAAAAGTGTCTGTGGGAAGGAAACAGCAAATGAGCTAGGCTGGAAATGAAAATTCGGTATCCAGACATTGAAGCAGTGGCTTTAAAAAAGCCACTGGGTGGGAACATTGGGGTGAAGGATGATTTTTTGATGGAGCATCCTTGGATGTGTTTGCAAACAGGAAAACATCTGTCTATGCTGAGGCAAGATGAGTCCTGAGATGAGTGAGACATCATCCTGCCATGGGTCCTGGCAGTCCGCACCTCTCGCTCCCCTCTCAGTGCTCATGTGTGCTTAGTACTGCGTGCTTCCTCCCCCCATTCCTCAGCAGACCCCATCCAGCAATATGCACAGCAGGTGGTGACTGCAGAGCTGTGCTGTCAGTTCAGGTGGGCTCTCCTTCACTGAGCGTTGAGCTAAGAGTGCAAAGAGAGAGTAGAAGGCCCATTTCCAGTTTCTTTAAAAGCATTGCCCTTCCTCTTTTCCCTCCCAATTATTTTTCTCCTGCTTTCCAGTTTTTGCACTAAAATTGGTATTTCAGTGCTGGCGGGAGCTCACATGCTCCATGGCATGGGGAGGAGGGCTGGCAGGCGCTCTGAAACGAGTGCTGCTGGGATGCTGCCAGGGCCAGGGCTTGTGAGGCCAGAACTAGGGGTTTTCAAAACCATACTGAAGTCTATTGTCAGCCTTGGATTCTCAGAAAATCCTGACTTGGATCTCCTCGGGTCATTGGATGGCTCGAGTGCAGTGAGAGTGTCAGGCTTTTGTGGTGTGATTTGTCTTTGGTTTGCATCCTTTGAGTTTCAAGCTGGTTTTCATAACCTCAGGAGCTCTTTTTCCCCTTGCCCTCCTGTCCCAGTACAATCCGGTGGACACGAAGCAGTGCAAGGAGTAGCGTGGTGCTGATGCAAATCAAGCCCATGGGCTGTGGCTGCTGGGAACACCTAGAGAAAGCCAGAAGGGGAACACAGTGGGCACATTGCTGGGGAGGAGCAGTAAGTGACAGTAAAGCCTGTGGATTTGTGGAGAGGAAGGAACATCACCAAGGCCATAGCAGCTAGTAGAGCATCTATACCTTGGCATGAAAAATGCCACCTGGCTGAGAAACACGGGTGAAGGCTTCCATCTGTTGCCCTTTGCTGTCAAAGACAATGAAGCTTCTTGTTTTCTTGCAATATATGGTTTGAATTTTGGTGGGTCCTCTGTGGAGCCAGCAGTTTGACTCAGTTGTCCTTGGCTCTTGAACACAAGAACTGTGGAGATGTGGCACTGAAGGACATGGGTTAGAGGGCATTGGGGGGATGGGACTAGATGATCTTAGAGGTTTTTTTCAATCTAATGACATTATGATTCTATGCCTGTGAGTCCCTTCTAACTCAGGATCTTCTATGATTCTATGATATTTCATTCATAGGCATCTGTTGAGGCATATTCCTGAGACATATGCCACAGTGCCAAACCCTGGCCACAAAAGGATGTGCAGACAACATCCCTCCTATGACAACTGTATAGTTTATGGGATTGCACAACATTTGGGCATTTGTCTTTGTCAGCCCTTTAGAGGCTTTGAGGACAGGCTTTGCAAAATTAGCCATTTGAGTTTATTCTGTTGACTCCTCCTAAATTCAATATTAGTTAGTGCTGATGATGCCTTTTCCTTGTGATTGCCAACCATGGTGAACGTAATACCTGCAGAAACAGTTAAAATGCATTCAATCATAAAATTGTTAAGGTTGGAAAAGACCTTTTAGATCACTTAGTCCTGCTGTCTACTTGCCACTGGAACTGCCCACTAACCTGTGCTTGTTAGTACCACATCTCCACAGTTCTTGAACACCTCCAGGGTCTGTGATGCCCCTACCACCCTGGGCAGCCTATGCCAGTATCCAGCCACTCTTTTGGAGAAGTTTTTCCTGATATCCAACCGGAACCTCCCCTGGTGCAACTTACAGCCATCACCTCTCATCCTGTCACTGTTACCTGGGAACAGAGGCTGACTTCCGTTCTGTCACAACCTCCTGTCAGGGATCTGGAGGGAGAAATAAGGT